TTAAAATTAAATTAAAATTAAATTAACTTTTTTTTTTGCCCCACTGGCCCTAATCCTCTTCTGTAGAACACTGTTTGAAGGTCCTGATCTTCTGATAGAAGATAGAAGTCGCCCCCTGCTGAACAGTAGAGGACTTGAACATTTTCTTGTGTTTTTTGTTTGTTTTCTAATTTCTTGGTATAAAAACTAATTTGAAGGATAATGTTGTTACTTGAAGCACTTTATCACTTTTTACATTCATTTCTTGTTTAAGTTATATTTTCCAGAGGCCTGCTGCTGAGGCTCAGCGCTCTTGTAGTTTGGGTTGTGAGATATTTGGCATCATTTATTGGTTTCTGTGAAGGTTTATCTTATATCTTAGAAGAGAATAAAAATGCTTTAAATTAAAATTTAATTCATCCTCTGTTTCATGTTGGTGAATATAAGTTTTTGCTGCATTAATTTTCCCCCTGATCCAACTTTCCTTCTGTTGTTTGTCTTCTTCTCGTCCCAGACTTCCTGATCTGTATCTTTTGTTTGTTAAAAAGCTGTGAACGTTTACAGTGAAACCTTCCTGAATGTAACGGACTGAGATTAAAGCTGTTTTCTGGTTCCGGTTTTTCAGTGACGTTTATTCACCCAGAACCTTCTCCTCCCCGTTCCCTCTTTTCTTGCAGCTGGTTGAACCCTGAGCTGCTCCGCGTCCCGAGGTGATCAAACAGGAGGGAGGAGGGTAGACTGAGTTTACTGTGCTGTTAGGCTCCTCAAAGCGTTTCTACTCCCTGTAGGTTATGACTGAGCCAGCGCATCCCCTCTAATAAACCTGCTGCTTTTCTACAATCACAACTTTTTTCCTGTGGGTTCTTTTTTAACCTTTTTATTGGCACCCAGGTCTTCTTGTTTATTCTGGTTCCTTTTAACTTCAAACATGAACTGAAGGAGTTTGCAGCATTCACGAAACACGCTAATATATTTTAGCATAATCTTTTGCCTTGAATGGCTTTAGCCATACCTTTAATCAAAAGCAAAAAAATTACTTTTTCTGTCAGTTTTTAAGGAACAAAAATGAAAAAACTGAGTTCTTTAAAAGCAAATTTAAAAGCATTTTAAAACCTTTAACACAAAGTGTGGCACAATCTATGCAAAAGAAAATGTTTTTTTAAAGACTTAAAAAAAAAAAAAGCAAATCAAGTTTAAACGACTTTTACAAAACAAAGTGGTTTTAGGGGAGCACAAATCTCTTACAAAGCAGAGGTGGCGGCTTTATAAATAATCAGGAGGTGAAATTTGGTCTTATTTGCCTGCAGTGTGAATGTAGCCTTAGTTACAGCTAATTATTCCGGTATTAATCCGGTAAAACATGGCTGCAAGTTCACCTTACGCAACATCAGGATTAGCTTGACACGATGAAGAATGGAGAGAATTTAACCTGAAATAAAGTACTTAAAAGCTCTGACTGATGGAAAAATGAGAGCTTTTAGGAAAATTATAATTGAGGTATAAAAAAAATCTAATCTTACTTTAGCTACGGTAATAGTTGAGGGAATATTCCTAAAACCAGAGGTCCCAAAAGTGTTATTCAAGTAGAAATATCAAAAGTATTTTTGTAGAAATATAAATCCTACTGTTTAAAAACAGTTTTCTGGACATTAGAGTATCAACTTAAGTGTTTTATTCAAGTAAAAGTACAATTTTTACAATTAAAGTGTAAATTAAAAGTAACGCTGAAAGAAATGTTAAAGACAGATGCTTTAAAACTTATACTGCACGACCCGTTTACAGAATAATTTTTTCACAATTCTGGACGATAATATAGTTAATACTTATCTTAGTTTTATAACCAATAGTAACGGCGTTAAATTTTACTTTGCATCATCTTGAAAAACTTTATTTTGTTATGTGGCGGACAACTAGTTGGTGCAGTAGAGAAATAGTCTGGATGAAACTAATTATTTTGAGGGGTTTTATTTTTTTTAAAATGCCAACAGGCAGTGGCGGTTCTAGACCAAATGTACCAGGGGGCCAGGAGGGGGCCAGAGTGTTTTTTTGGGGGCCCAGAAAAGCATGAAATAAAAAAACAGGGCAAGGGTTTTGAAATATATTAAGAGAGCTGAATGAAGTGAAATTTCTATTCAATTAGGTTTAATTAATCTTCTTCTGAGGTCAATATATGTTCATAATTTCGGAATTTTACATGTTTGACTTAATTTAAGTGAAAATTACCGTTTTCTGCTAAATCTGAATTAGAACTCAAGAAAAAAACTGATAAATTCACCTCTAAAAATTAAATTGTTTTGGGGGGAAAAAAATCCTATCTCAATACCACTGAAGCTATCACCTCTTTGTTTTTAGATAATTAGTAAAGCAGAATTTTTAAAGAAAAAAAATGAAATAGATCCAAAGGACATATCAGTAACCATGTCTGTTCCAGCGCATATCATCATTAGAATTTCTTTGAGTATTATGTCTTCAGTACAGGGGCCATAACAGGGCTCGGGACATGATCCACAGGGGCATTGGCCCCCGTTGGCCCCTGTCTAGAACTACCCATGCTCTGAAATAGATCCAAAGGACCTACCAGTAACCATGTCTGTTCCAGCACATATCCTCATTAGAATTTCTTTAAGTATAATGCTTTGGTACAGGGGCTAGGACATGATTTACTGGGGCACCGGCCCCTGTTGGCCACCATCTAGAACCGCCCATGCCAACAGGCCATAATGAAAATTAAGTTAAATGCAACCAAACTAAACTATTTTTAAAATCTAAGAAGTAGAAAGTTGAGATAATTGCAAAAAGATGTAAGGAGTAGAAGTAAGAAATTGCATAAAATAATAATTAATAATCCCAATAAAGTATAGATAGCTATGATTTATACTTGAAGGTAAGGAAGTATTTCTGACACCTCTGCCTTAAAACATTAAAAGGACATTTAGATCACATTACTGCAGTCATCCAACTTATAGGTGTAAACAAAGCAAGTGTTGCTTAATAAACTGGGAAAAAGCACCTTATCTACTGGTGCCAGTAAATAATCAGTGTTACTCCTTCTGTAAAAGTTTAAAAAAAACAATCCACTGGACTTGGTTTCCAAGATTTGAAGACGTTTCGCTTCCCCTCCAGGAAGCTTTCTCAATTCAATTGGTTCCATTGTTAGCCTGTGATATCTGAAACCTGTCTGATTGTTAAGGGTCGGTTGTTAAGGAGGAGCTTCCTGGAGGGGAAGCGAAATGTCTTTAAATCTTGGAAACCAAGTCCAGTGGATTGTTTTTTGTTTTTTTTTACTTTTACGGAATGACTATGACCTGGATCAGGCATCCCTAAAGTCGTTGCTCGAGGCCCGCTGTCCTGCAGCTTTTAGAGGTTTCCCTGCTTTAGCACAGCTGATTATAATGATTGCAGTTAATCAAAAGCCTGTTAATCAGCTTTCATTTCCAATCAGCTGTGCTGGAGCAAGGAAACCTCTAAAACCTGCAGGACAGCGGGCCTCCAGGACCGACTTTGGGGATGCCTGTCCATCTTCATCAGCAATCAGTGTTACATTACGTGCTGATTCTAAACCTTCAGCTCAGGGATGTTTAAAGGTGCACTATTGATTTACAGCAAATTTACCTTTCATTTGTTTACTGTATTATTGTCCTGAACAATGAGTGTAATTGAAGGACAGTTTTACTCAAACTGAAACTCTTATGTAGGTTTTTGTCTTGCGTAAAAAGATTTTTTCTTAACAACCATTTAATAATGTTGGAGTATTTTCAGAATGAATATATACTTTCATCAGTGGCAGTTTCTGGTATGTATGACATGGACCCACACAGTTCTTAATAACGGATATTAATACTGATAGAGAGGCAAAGATGAATGTCCTAAATGAGAGTTTTTTATATATTTTAAAACAAAGAAGT